TCTCAGAAGCAATAATAACTACATAAATAGCTAAGTGGATGGCAGGAATTACTTCACTTTGGAATTCGGCCAGCATATCAAAGTTAACAGTAATATCACATCTTTTTGAAAGCTTTCCTGAGATTCTAGGGGGGAGATCATATCAGAAAAACCGTACCAAGTTAATTTTAGGAAGAGGATGCTCCTCACTGCTTGAAGACATTCTATCTCCTGAAAATTGATAAGACAGAAGTTCTAGCCTGCTGGAAGCACTATCTTATCCACGTAAATACATTGCCAGTATTGCCCCCAATGGATGCAATTATGTTTACAGATTACCATCGCCTAATGTAAAATTTTTCTCAAAACATAACCCACAAAGGATGCTCTAAATGCCACAAAAAGGACCTGTGGATATCCCACTTTCAGAGTTCTCTAACTTTTGGACTCACTGTGAATGGTTAAGATGTAAACCTTGTAAGGCTAGATTTTGAAACACGCACAACTGTACACATTCATTTCTGAATTAGGTGGAATTGGGCAAATTGGAAATATAAATAATGTTCAAACCCTGGACACCTCTAGTCATGAATATCCTGTAGGTTTTTCCTCTTACGTACATTACGTACATTTCCTCTTTGAGCACTAACATGCTGACCATCTTCTTTGCTTCCCAGAAATAGAGATAAAAACTGGGTGTTGATGGCAATTTGGGGTACAAATATCTTCTCTCACCATCTGGAAACATTCATGTGTTACTGTTTCCCAAAAAAATAAGTTAGAATATTGCATTCTTTGTTTATTTTCTACCCAGGGACAAGTTATTTTAGTATCACTCACAATGGAATTTGCATGAAAATCTGTTTACTGACCCCATTCCATAAGGGTGCATTTGCCCTAGCACTTGGAGTAAACACCATTTTCATTGCACTAGAAATAGTTCTAATTGGGCAGATTGTTACAATTTTAGCAACACCCAAATAAATCAAAGGAATATGAAGCAGACATGCCACCAAGTCTGGATTATACAGCAACCCAGTTCAGTCTGCCTGAAATAAGTATTCCTTATACACCATCAACAAATGCTAAAAGAACATCTGTAGACATCAAAATTTTGGGGAATATATGAGTTTAGAGAAGCTGATGATTCTGAAAACAGTATGTTAAAGAGTTATATGATTAATTGCTAAATTTTTATCTCATATATAGTATATATGTACATATATATCATATATACAAATATATATAAAGAATGGAATTCACTCATTTCACTAACTGGTAAATTTTCATTAATATGATCTAAACATGTGGATGATCAAACAATAACATTCAGAATTCAAAACTAAGCACCTTGGGGCTTCCCTGGTGGCGCACTGGTTAAGAATCTGCCTGCCAATGCAGGGGACATGTGTTTGAGCCCTGGTGCGGGAAGATCCCACATGCCGCGGAGCAACTAAGCCCGTGTGCCACAACTACTGAGCCTGCGCTCTAGAGACCCCGAGCCACAACTACTGAGCCTGTGTGCCACAGCTACTGAAGCCCGCACTCCTAGAGCCCGTGCTCCGCAACAAGAGAAGCCACCGCAATGAGAAGCCTGCACACCGCAACGAAGAGTAGCTCCCGCTCGCCACAACTAGAGGAAGCCCGCACGCAGCAACGAAGACCCAACGCAGCCAAAATAAATTAATTAATTAATTAAATAAATTAAAAACAAAACATTAAAAAAAACACACACAAAAACTGAGCACCTTGTAAAATATACCTGAATGAGAAACACATCAGGTACTCTGTGTATAACTTCTCCTTTCAAACCTTTCTATAAACTGGCTGCTCTTCATATCTCATTATTCACTGACACACAAACTCCTCTCCAATAAGCTGAACCTCTGCACTATTCTTCACACACCTCCATGCCACTCTCTGCTGACCCATCCTTGCCCTCATTTCGGATGCTTTCTCAAATCTTTCTTGTTATCAAACACTCGTCTCCTCCATGAAGCTTTAAATTTTACTTGAACTTACAGTCATACATTTTCTGAACTCCCTCAATATCTAGGTCCAAATTTAACACTTAATTATAGGATTGTTTTGCTCTCTGCTTAGGTAGGTGTATGTGTATCTCTTTTTCCCAACTAAATCACATGACTGAAAGGTAACACCTCCCTCTTAAGCCTCTCCCTAAAGTTTCTGTCAAGATCCTACTCCACATTTAACTTCGCTTTCTCTTGATAGTTCTTCTGACTGCTACGTTTATCTGAAAACATGCTTAGGGCTTCCCTGGTGGCGCAGTGGTTGAGAGTCCGCCTGCCGATGCAGGGGACGCGGGTTCGTGCTGGGAAGATCACATGCCGCGGAGCGGCTGGGCCCGTGAGCCGTGGCCGCTGAGCCTGCGCGTCCGGAGCCTGCGCTCCGCAACGGGAGAGGCCACAGCAGTGAGAGGCCCGCGTAAAAAAAAACATGCTTAAATGTGCCCTCTCTTAAAGAAACTTCTGCGGGCTTCCCTGGTGGCACAGTGGTTGAGAGTCTGCCTGCCGATGCAGGGGACATGGGTTCATGCCCCGGTCCAGGAAGATCCCACATGACGCGGAGCAGTTAGGCCCGTGAGCCATGGCCGCTGAGCCTGCGCGTCCGGAGCCTGTGCTCCGCAACGGGAGAGGCCACAACAATGAGAGGCCCGTGTACCTCAAAAAAAAAGAAAAGAAAAAAAAAAGAAAAAAAAAAGAAACTTCTGCAACCATGCTTCTTTCTCAAGCTCTCCCACCATATCTACTTTCTTTCTCTGTCAAACTTCTTTGAAAAGCATTCTTTCCTCTACGTCTTCTATGCCCGCTCTATCTTCAGCCCTCTCAACCTGAGTTTCCACCTGCGTGCACCCCATCTTCTCTCCTGACTCCCAGTGCACCTCCTTCCCCAACCGCGATGCTCATTTCCTCTTCTGGCTCATCCCCTAGAGGCTCAAGTTGTCATCCATCATATCTGCACAATTTCCTTCAGCAACTGCCTCTCTGTCCTCGTCTTTAACTTCCAGGTCTCCACCTGCCATTCCCTAATCTGTATTTTTAGTGCAGCACACAATGTGGGGTGCCAGACCTTATGCTGCCACCTGCTGGGGAGTTCCATGAGGCGAGCTTAGAACCAAATTCAAGGTCGTCCCTCCACATCTACCATCCGTGCTGTCGTTTCTGTTAAGTAATTCTCCTAGACGTAGTTGTCAAAGATTTAACATTCAGAACCTCCATCACTTACCACCATCTCCCCTGCATTAATCACTCACTGTGTACTGTAAATACTGCCTACTACAATCTCTGCACTCTGTGTTCCACCCCTAACTAGCACGTCTCATTTAAGCTGTGACTGCCCATTACAGGGGCTACTGGATGGGCCCTGACTGACCTTTCTCCTTTCTCTCCCCTGATCTCCAATCCTCCCTACCCTTCTGCCAGAGGAATCTTTTTGAAACAGTTATCTGAGCAGTGCCTTAAATGAAAAGCCTCATGTAATTCTACCCTACAGGTAGGATAAAGCCCCAACTCCTCAGCTCTGGAGCTTCTAGGAAGAACTCCAAGGCCCTGCATGAGCTGGCCTGTCTCTTTATCCTCTTCTTTCCTCACTTTCCCTCTCACTCCCTATCTTCACCCTCACTCACTCTGGCCTCCCTGACCTTTTTGTATCTGTACCTTGAACCAAAGAGGCTTGCCCTGGATCCTAGAATGGGCTGCCCTCATATCTGCACATGGGTGACGACACCGGCCATTCAGGTCTGGTCACAAATGGCACCTCCTTGGCAAAGCATCCTGACCAAACGATCTACAGTAACTGCCACCATCCCTCCCAA